GAGGCCAAAAACGTCACCAAGGCCAGGATGTTACACACCATTCCCAAGGGAGCCATAACCAGGATGGAGTGATATTCCGCCAGGAAAGCCAGACACAAAAACTGCACATCCAGACTGCTTGGAGCGTCACAGCCCCCGGCACTGGACATAAACCGGACATTGGAATGGTTGGTGTAGGCGACGACGGTCTCGTTGCTCATGTCCACCGGTGGAGGTGTGGATTGCAGATGGGGAATGGTTTCAGGTTCAGGCTGCCAGCCAGCTGTCGTAGCCTTGTTTCCCATCACCCTGGGCGCCCCCGTTGTTTGGATATGTAGAATACTGTCAATGGTGATGAACAAGTCTTCGTCTTTTGCATTCATTTCAAAATGACCGCTGAACTCTGAAAAGCAAAAATGATGGTAGAATTAAACAAGAGACACGTTCACACTACATCATTTTGTAAATTATTATTATTATATGCTCGATAAATATCACAAAGAAATATCAGCACATACAACTGCATAGATTATTTTGGCACCAGTGTGATATCACAGCTCGATTTTGTACAGCGTGGTCGCGCTAGCTTGCTAAGGTTCACCGCGAACCTCATTCGCGTAATCTTTTTATCTCCCAAAAGTATATGTTCCTCTGGTATATTATTTGTTTGTTTGGTTATTTATTAATCAATTTATTTATTTATTTATTTAATAATTCATACCGGTTTAATTTTTTTAATTGATTAATTAATTAATTAATTTATTTATTTATCGATATTGGTTTTTTAATTTTTTATTTGTTTGTTTCGTTGGCTCTGCTTACTTCTGTTGGAATTTGCCTTTCGAGTTTTCCAATACAGCTAGCATTCTGGCTTCTCTACTGCAATGTACTTTAATGTACACTCTTCTCTGTAAATACTGTTAGTACTGAATACCCACTGTAAATTTATGTATGTGACTGACTGACAAGACTGACAAATCACCAAGAGACAGCAGATGCAATTCGAAACACTCTTAATTATTAAGATGGATTGAAAATTTTTCGTATTTGCTAAGCCAGTGGGTGTCGCCAAAATGATACAGCAAAACATTAGTTCACTTAACGCATAAAACATATCCCCGGAAGCATGGAATGTTATTGACTGATAAGTTATCATCAGCTAATTATCCGAAATTTCCTTTTTGTCCTGTTACGTGCTTTTGAAACGTCAAGTATGATTGATTATATAGCGCGCGGACAAAGCATCTGTCATACACGTTATCTTTAATTCGGGATAATCTAATCTTGCCATATATTACATCAGCTAGCAGTAGAACTGCCAATGTAGGAGTTCTTTAGGTGCAGCGATATTTTGGTTGTATTTTGTAGTTGTATTTATTTTCGCGCAACGTTTTGCCTGTCCCCTTAACTAAACGCGGTCATGTTGGCAAAGGCCCTTAGATTTTTCGGTTCACCATTGTCTGATCATCAGTACCGTTGCCATAGAAATACAACAATTAGAAAATAAATGTAATAAATGTCTCGTCTTTCAAGGAGTGTTGCCAAAACACAGACATCGAAAACAGCATCTGGCTATGCAATGACACAAAAATGGAAACTTATAACAATGAAGCAAATGTTAGCTGACATCGCTATATATATTTTTGTCAAAATTATCAAGGTTGGCAAAGAGACTGGTTTTGAGCTATTCATTGATATCTGTTCAAATATTGCTTTATATGTGATTTATGAATAATTTAATTATCAAACATATATGGAAATGTTAGCATGAAGCATAAGAAAGTGCAAGAGAATAAAGTAGTTTGCTGCCCGGCCAATATGCTTTCTGGGTAATTGATACGGTGACATTTAGTGAAGTGCAATTGTAGTATTGAGATGACCAAACTGTTTATAGAATTGAAAAATGCAGCGTTTTCATGTCATATCTCCTTTTTGAACAATTACGACAAATATGTGCTTTTACAATTATTTCCCTTGACCAACTCCATTCAGAGTTTACCTAGCATTGACTCCAGCGCTGGAAATGTTCCTCAAAAATTATTCAATGTGTATGAGGGTTAACTTGCCGGCAGTTTAAGTACCCATCTTTTATACATGTATGATTGTCTATCACGTAAAATTGAAGGCCATTTTTTTAAACAAAAGACAGTAGGAATCATTCGAGGTACATCGGTTGACCTATATAGGCTTTTGTCAGATTTCAGAAATTTTAAGAAATGCCAAGTTTTTAACATTTTTATGGAAGTGCAGCAGCAAACGCGTAGGGCCCGGTGTGGCAGGAGTGCACGTCCTAGTAACGCAAGTTCACCCGGACACTAAGTCCTGGGAATGCAAGTCCTAGGGCATGCATTGCTAGGAATGGAAGTCCTAGGACATACGTTACTAGGATACAATGTCCGTAGGACGAAGGCTCCCAAGAAAAGCAAGTCCTACGTGTAGTAATGCACGTCCCCATGGGACGTGCGTTCCTAACATTTTAGTAACGCATGTCCTATATAGTTTACACCAAGAAATGACATGAATAAATAGAGACATACTAGTTTTAAAGATATAATGTAACAGGAATAAAAGTCCGACAGTAATACAAGTCCTACCTAATCTAATTATGAGCCAGGAACCTAAGTCCCTGTAGGACTACTATTCCCAAGTAATGTTAGTCCTACAGACAACCATTACCAGGAACCGAGGTCCTTCGGACTTGGATTACTGTTACACCGGTAACTCTGTACAGCGAATGTCATTGTAGGCTACATGTCAGCACAACTCCCTACTTTCTATCAGGACCACAGAGAGTTTTTTCAATTAATATAAACAAACATTTCTCTGGCTAATTCTGGATACATTTCTGCACTGTGACCTACAAGAAAATTACAAAAAAAAAAAAAATGATTTCACCAACCTGCTGCCCTCTGGTGGGCAGTATCGATTTCCCGCCATCTTGACCTGTTGACCTTCCGTCTCATCTGCGGTTTTCAATTATAAAATCAATTTCAATAATTGGGCATTGGTTTCGAAAACTTTAATATTCCCAGTCTGACATTTAAAGGACAATTGACATTCCCAATTAGGAAATTGATGCACAAAGGGGAGATATAGTTATACAGGGTTCAGTCTTTTGTTTGCCAAGTTAAACTCTAATGTGATATGTAGAAGATGTGAGAGCCAATCAAGGACGTCAATTGACGTTCTTGGGCCAATTTAGTGGCTGCATTACACCACGATTACGACTAATGCCCAGGGTTAAGTCTTTCAACATTCGACCAATGCGTAACATTTGACTTGTTTCCTTAAAAAAAAAACATCTACAAAACTATCTGCCAACATACGCCAGGCGACAGGCAATGGCGGTTCGTTTTACCCGTTCTCGTTTTGTACACCCAGTATAAACCGGTAGAGGTTCTCCATTCCAGTCCCTTGTTACGTTCGTTCTCGTTGTATAGGCAAACAAAGCCCGTACAGAGCAGCGTTTGGCCGATATTAAAAGGTGCTTTTCCACCATCTCTCATTTGATTAAACGTCCACCGTCCCACTTACTTACTTTTGCCTGTTACCCTTGGTAGGGTGCAGGCCACCTGCAAGTCCCCTCGAGCTCCATCTGTCTCGATCCTGCGTTCTCGATGTCTCAAGTTGCTTAGACACCGTTCCTACCGAACCGACTATTTTTCAAGAGCGCATTAGTGTTTTAGCACTTAAACGGAATATGACAAATCGACGACATCGTTTCAAGTCATAACATCAAATGCATATGAGGGAGAAAATACATGTCGCAGAAAAAAACTACAACAATTATAATTCTCTAACCGTTCCATAAGAACTTTTCCATGCACTCTGCAACATTAGATAAATGGAATTTATTGAATTTCTCTCTGCGTTCTGAACTGCGAGCATCATTTGTCATCTTCCTGCAAAAGCACTTAACGTTTTGTTGGTTGGTTTCAGAGCACATTTATTTTGGCACGCTTGGAGTAATGAACAAACCGACCACAGACAACAGATACATTTCAGTTAATACCATGTATACGCTTAAGGCATGTAATTTACCCGGGTCGAGCATCAGTGGAATACCCTTAAGAGACAGCAAAGTCACGTGCACTCTAAAATGTCTAACGAAGACGTATTATAAGACTGTTTGCAAATATAATATCATCATTCCAGCAGGTGCAAATACACGTATTGCAGCCTTGAGGCAATACAATTAAACTGTAGAAATAAAACCAAGCTTGTATCTCAGAGTAAACAAAGTATATCGT